GCAATACGAACGTGTGAAAGGTGATAAACTATAGTACGGTATCATTGATTCATGTTTTCTGATGAGTTGCAGTACTAACGTGTGAAAGGTGATAAACTATAGTACGGTATCTTTGATTCATGTTTTCTGATGAGTTGCAATACCAACTTGTGAAAGGTGATAAACTATAGCACGGTATCATTGGTTCATGTTTTCTGATGAGTCGCAATACTAACGTGTGAAAAGTGATAAACTATAGTAAAGCAAATTTTCTATCATATAGTGGTGATGGCAGCTACCAGTCTGCAAACGGAGAAGATCGAACTCCAACAGCAATGGCTCGTGCAGTAACAGTTCATACAGATATCAACAAAGTCATGTACTTTGCCTGACAAGGGTAAAATGTAGGGCTTGATTAAGACTGTAGTTTTTGGTGACTTGACATCTTTTTTCAACTCCCGTACCTGATCAACTTTCGACTCTTGGCAGGTAACCTCTAACAAAGGACCGTGTGTTCCCAGTTTTTACCAAGAAATGTTCAATGTTATATGTGTGATGATGTCAAGTATTGGTAGCTTTGCACAAGAAAATGATCAATTGAATCACCGATACAATTAGGACCCATTTTCCCAATTTTTTTTATTATCACTATTATTTTTTAAACTGTTATTTATCTGTCAGAAATGGAAAATACCAAATAGACTTTGTTTTAAAAGCAAGCTGTGTTTCTAGAGCTGCTTTGTGAGTTGTAAAAGTAGTTAGTATTTAAAATGTCTGTGTTAACCGGTGGTTTCTTATAAGTTATTGTTAATTTCACATCAGTTTAATCAAAGTGGTCGTTTCTACTCTTTGTAAGGCTTATAGAAGGCTGGCAGAGCAGAGAGAAATTCATCAGATATCCTGGTTTATATATCTACATATCCATATGTATTTTATTTTTAAACTAATTACAATCTTAGTCCTTTTGTTGTAGTGATTTATTTATGGACTTCTCAACCAGGATGTCTATCTGTGTCAGCTGATGGTGGACAAAATCCAGTACTTCAGATATCAGTTTGGAAAATTATAATGAATGATGACCATATTTAATGATTTCATATGTTCTACAGTGTGTTGATTTTAAATTTTTTATAACTTGTATTTTAAGAAAAGCAAAGAATGTACTTGTGATACGAATTCCAAATCAAGAGCCACTTTAAACTTTTCCTAATGCTTGTGTTGAGATTTTCACTATATCTATCCGATATTCATTCAGAAACCATGCAACCACCATTCAAGGATGCAAATTGTAAACTAATATTCAACAGAACTCTGGATTAGCAGCTTCAAGAACCATGATTCGTTTGTTTCCAACAATGAACTAAATTTGTACATAGTATTCCTGTACATAGTGGGCTGTTTTTATTCCTTAATTGTTAGTACAAATTGGTTGCATAATAAGTTTTAATTAGGCCTTTTTTTTTTGCTTTGACTGAATATTTAGTGTCTGCGTGGTGTGTTTAAATATTAAAAAATCTGCTGTGTAAGAAATTATTGTTGAGTTAGAAATGAAAGTTTTCAGAACCAAACTGCAAAACTTAAAAATGACTGTGCCCATTACGTGATCTAAATTATCACAAATATGCTTAAACAAATACAAAATTACTTGTTGAGCTGCTGAATTTTTTCAGGTGTTTTTTCAGACAGCAAGAAAGATATATTTAATACTTAAAACAAAAACAAATCAACTAATCATGAATATTTTTTTCTCATTACATTTGTAAAGAGAACTTCCAAACTGAAAGCTCCACCAGGTAATATATATTTATATTACATATTCAATGGCTCAACACACAATGAGATTTTTATATTTTGTGGTTGTAATTTTTTTCAGCTTTCCTTCAAGGCAGGTAATTTTAATCACCTCGTTCTTAATTGTTCTCAGTTGCAAATGAGGTAATTTAAAATTATTGTTGGTCTCACCATTATGTTCCATCACACCTGAAAAATATCATAGTTTGTCAGCTCTTGTGTTGCAAGTTTTCATATCAATATTTTTTATACTCTCTGTGTTTTTTCTCATCAATTTTGCAATAAAAAAAAGTGCTAGTTACCCCTGAAAAATGAAAAACTATTTTAAACTTAAATTAAAAAAAAAAGAAAATTTTTAGCAAAGGTTTAATTTAACAACTGGGTGTAGTAGTTTTATGTTGAATTTTTTTTTTGTAACCAGGGTTTAAATCTTCAGTATTTGTCAGATATTTAATGCTGTATTATTTGTAAGATCTAAAGTGCATGGGATTCCTGTCAGTGTGGGTGTAATATCAATTTCTAAAACGTACATTGATGGTTATTATACTGAAGTTAAACAAGTTTATTTCAAAAAATTTTTCTTCTTAACTTTCTATGAAGAAAATACTCTGTAGATCATTTCTTGACCTCTAAGTTCATTTATGAAAAATTAAGTGAACCTGGCAGTATTTTAACCACGAATAAGCCGAATGAATATTTATTTTGATAAACAGTTTAGTTATTCAGTCTTTTAGAAATACATTAATAAAGTTTTAATATAATTCTTTATAGAGCACAAAAGATTTACTAGGCATTATGAATGATATAGATATTTTTTGTTTTGTTAAAAATTTGAATTATAATTATATCACAGTTAATAAAATCCTCTGTTAGCCTAATGATGAATTACAGAAAGTAAATATGACATAAAAATTAAGTAGTAACTTCTGTTTCATTTTTCACCTAATTCAGATATTTGTATAGTTGTTCTTAGTTTATTATGTTGCTGGTATTGAGGACAAATGTTCTTAGATTGGGAAAGGCTGGAACACCATTTTTGTCCGACTAAACTTTCTGTGGTAAGACTGGGATAATGGAGTTCGTTAGGAAATATATTTTTTAGTTGCACCAGCTTGATGTTATTTTTTAAAGACTTGTTCTTTCAAAAGGTTAATTGCAGTTGTGTAAAATTCTTGTCCACATTATTTGTTTGTCGAGTTAAGCAGTTCTTTCAACTCAAATTTGGTAAGTTATACAATTTAAAGATATTATGTTGTAGTGGCTTTTAATGTTTTTGAATTTAAACTTTTTGTATTCCATGGCAAATCCATTTTCATACTATAGTGCTTTATATTCGAGGGGAAGACTATAAACTTTTGGACGTAAAACAAACAAAAATGTTAATGCTCTCTTTAAATTGTAAATCATTTTAGTATTAATTAGCATGTAGATGCAGATGTGATGAGATTTTATTTTAATTTGCACATAAACTGCTAATTTGATAATTATATGACTGCTTTTTGACATTGAGCTAGTTCATAAATCTTTATTTTAATTTGCACATAAACTGCTAATTTGATAATTATATGACTGCTTTTTGACATTGAGATAGTTTACAAGTCTATTTTAATTTGCACATAAACTGCTAATTTGATAATTATATGACTGCTTTTTGACATTGAGCTAGTTCATAAGTCTTTATTTTAATTTGCAGCGCAGATAGCCTTAGTGTAGCTTTGCACGAAATTCAAATTCAAAACAAACAATTTTAATTTGCACATAAACTGCTAATTTGATAATTATGACTGTTTTTTGACATTGAGCTAGTTCATAAGTCTATTTTAATTTGCACATAAACTGCTAATTTGATAATTATATGACTGCTTTTTGACATTGAGCTAGTTCATAAGTCTTTATTTTAATTTGCACATAAACTGCTAATTTGATAATTATATGACTTTTTTGACATTGAGCTAGTTTACAAGTCTATTTTAATTTGCACATAAACTGCTAATTTGATAATTATACGACTGCTTTTTTGACATTGAGGTAGTTTATAAGTCTATTTTAATTTGCACATGAACTGCTAATTTGATAATTATACGACTGCTTTTTGACATTGAGCTAGTTTATTTCTATTTTAATTTGCACGTGAACTGCTAATTTGATAATTATACAACTGATTTTTGACATTGAGCTAGTTTATGTCTATTTTAATTTGCACATGAACTGCTAATTTGATAATTATACAACTGCTTTTTGACATTGAGCTAGTTTATAAGTATTTTAATTTGCACATAAACTGCTAATTTGATAATTATACGACTGCTTTTTGACATTGAGCTAGTTTATAAGTCAGTCAGATAAATGAACTATTCTTGTGTAAGCATTTTGTTTTATTAATTATCAGGATGTGAGTTGAAGCTTTATTAATAGTAGAAGATGCTTAATGTGCTGTAAAGATGTGAAGTTGTGTAGATGTGGTAAAAGATAAAGGCCATCCTCCCACGTTTTGAGATGAAGCTGCTGTTGCCCGGTCAGGTATAATTTCACCTCTTGCACACTAATTATATTAGTGTACACCAGTCTATTGTTACGTGGTACGTATTTATTTTATTGCTGTCATGGTTATTTACTTAATTCTAAAAATTCCCATTTGGGGATTTTCTTAAATTAAAACGTATAGTGTACCTCATCCTGAACTGTGTTTGGGTTTAGGTTTCATTTTCATGGAAATGTACGTACAGTATGTGTAAAGAGATCTAATCCCTGATCATGTTAAGCTGTTAATTCCGTATACTACTACATGGTAACACATTGGCCATTAACACCAACATTCCTTTCCTGCGAATACACTCCACTCAAATTTGAATTTATTTACATTCATTTTTGCTATATTTATGCAAACTGCTTTGCTCTTGACTTTATTTATTTTTTTTTATATACCTTTGTCAGTCTGTTGTGTCATTTACTTATGTCTGGTAATCATCTGTCATTTCAACTGTTTCGATGTATTTGTTTTAGGTTATCGTTATTTGGAGCGTTCATTTTAAACACCTTTCTCACATTGTCTTGCTACAATGCTTTCTGTTGGTGAAGAAAGTAAGGTTTGAAGTGGTAATTAGTTGAAAAAGTTCATTAGATAAATTCTAGTATAGTAGAGAATGCCAAGTTTGACCCGATGTTAAGTTTAGTGATTAACAGGTTTACTAGTTGTATTTTACATAATAAAATTCCATGAAAATAATTTTTTTTTTTATACATATGGTTGTAGAAGTATGCGTTTAGTATCCACAAGCTCAAAGTAGTTTTAATAGAGAAATGATTTAAATATAGCATTAAATATTATTTAGTATGATGGTAAAGCTTGCTTGGTGTTTTACGTTTTCAGGACATAAAAATATGCTATTCAGAAGTTATTTGTCTGTAAGAATAATATTAGAAACACTATTCACTCGAGTAGAGCTTGTTCCTGAAGATGTTGAACAATTAAAAAAAAATCAATTAAAGTATAAGTTTTTGTATATTAAACATGTTGGTAATATCAGAAAAATGTGTCTACGTATACCCTTGACAGAAAATGAAATTGTGTATCATGTTGGTAATATCAGAAAAATGTGTCTACGTATACCCTTGACAGAAAATGAAATTGTGTATCATTTCTTACAAATTGTTTGTTGTTTTTTTCGTTTGTACTGAACCATAGATGTGAGTGAGAAACAAAATAACAGTTGGAAGTGGTTCGATAACTAATTAGCTCAGACCTGATTTGAATTGCATTTTATACCTTAGTAGAATGTTATTTCCAAGCTTTGGGTATGAAGGTGTGAGTGTCGCAATGTATTTGTGAATGAACGATTGTGCATTGTTAAACAGAGCTTTAACATACAATTAGCAAGGTGACTTTCAGTTTAAGATTATATTCACAATGAACTTAACATTAACAATGAATTAAGCAGTCCCAGTTTAAGTATATTGGTAAGCCTACCAAATGTTTAGGTAATAACAGAATACAAAAAAAAGTTTATAAGAAACTTATTCAAATTTCTATTGTTCTGAAACCAAATACTTGATTTTCTTAGTTATTTTTTGCTGCCTTAAATTTACAAAATGTAGTGATCAAGGCTGTTGGCTGCTTTTCTTTTTTGTTAGTAATTATGACAGGTACCATACAGTGAAATGTATGTCCTTATGCAATCAAGAAGCTTTGTGCCCAATTTCTCTGTATACAATCAAGAAGCTTCATGCCCAATTTCAAACCATTTCCTTGTCATGTAACATCCACAAGAAATAGACTAAACAAGCTTATTTGTTCAGTGTGTACATCATTAGGATATGTTAGTTTTATGGAATGCTTAAGTTTATTTTGTGATGGTCTGGCTTGGTGTGATGCGAGACTGTGGAAACATATTCGTATTTAGATAATAAATACTTAGTTTCGGTCTGTTTTATTGTCTTCAGTTTACAAAATAGGGTGGTGAAGGCATTATCAGCTCTTTCATTACAAATACCATATGGGGAAATGTCCCTCCTTATGCAATCAAGAAGCTTTGTGCCCATTTTCAAACAGTTTCCATGTCATTTAATGTCAACAACAAATAGTCTAAACAAGCTTGTATGCTCAGCATGTATGTCATTAGAATACGTTAGTTCTGTGGAATGTTTAAATTGATTTTGTGATGGCTTGGTGTGGTGTAGGACTGTGGAAATGTACTTGTATTTAGATAGCACGAAATAGCAAAAACTTAGCAATAACTTCAGCAGATAAGTGTGATTTTAACGACTGATTCGGCAAGCTAAATGTGTTCATTTTCCTGTCTGGATTCACGTTTATTATGATTAGTAACCCCCAAAGCATGTAGAAACAATGACCAGATCTCAAGTTACAAGATCTTTGTTACACAAAATACTGTCGATAAAAGGTCATCGGAAAATGTGAATTTATTCTGCCACTGTTTCCTACTTAGCTTATGTTAAGTTACAGTTTTATCTTGTTTAGTGTTTCTTTGATCAGCAGTTCACTTTTATAAGAACTTATTTGATCACTTGTGCTAGTTTTAGCTTTTGTAAACAAAGGAAGTTAAAAAACAATGTTCCTGTGTAACTTTCTTTACGTGTCACTATGTTTGCAAAATGATCGCGATAACTTGTCATTTTGTTTTGAAAATGATCCCAAAAATTTGTCACTATGTTTGTAAAATGATCCCAAAAATTTGTGTCGCTATGTTTGCAAAATGATCCCAAAAACTTACATTATTCTTCTTTTTTTTTTGAAAAATATTCACTTCCAACAGGTTAAAGAACTATTTTGCACCTAAAAATGCAAATGTTATGTCACAAAAAATATAAAGTTTGTTAACATATAGTATATATAAAATACAGAAACTATACTGTAGAAAGTTTTGAGTCAGGCATTCATATTTTACATAGTTTTTCTCATATGGTTTGTTTAATAATATTCTAATGGAAACCATTTTTAATTTGATGGATAGTTAAAGTGATTATTTGCTAATATATGTCTCACATTTGTATTTTTCCTTTAAGTCATTCAAATCCAATGTATTTAGTAATGAGGAATTCTTAATACTTTAGTGTGCATTGGTTATTTTGTTTTTGACACGTAATTGTAGTCATTTGTTTAAATTTTCATTCCACTTTATATATTTCTAAATTCGTTGCCAAAAAAAAAAACCTTTGGAGTTTCAGGGAGATCATAAGCTTTTGGTGTAATAGTTATAATTGTGTGTGTGTGTATGAGAGAGAGTTAGTGTTAGCTTACCAATCAGTTTATTATATTGATACCCAGGACATGGAAATTATCAAGGTGTGATTATGTACATTCATTGATGCTTCCTGTATAACAGTGATGTTACTGAATATTGCATTTAGTTGGTGTGTCTTTATTTACATAAAATAGAATTTTTACAGTAATAAGATGTGGAAAAATGTAAACAGTTGTAGGCTTTTTGTTACTTAGTTCAACTTCATTTAGAGAACTAATTAAAAATGCTTATCTTATGTAAGGTTTAAGCCTAACTTGTGTAAAGTTTAAGCCTAATCTCTATCATATATACCAGTAATGTAATAGAAATTAATAATTTCTCTTACTCTTTGCTTTATTGACTTTTGATCTTTATATTTATCTACAGACAAGTGTTCTTTAATGCTCTAGAATGCTTGCTTATTTTGTCCTTTTTTCTTTTCTTTGTGAGGGTGGGAAAAGTAGTGTAGAATGTATCAGATCAAACTTATGAAACTTATTAAAAGTCGTTAAGGTGGATTGTATGTAGTTATTTGATAAAATAGTAGTTAAAAGCATGAATCACAATGATAGTCGCTGAAGTACTTGTAGAGTTGAAGTTAAACAGGTTATTCTACTTGGTAGCAAAAGGTTTTATTTATAGCATGACATTTTTTTTCTTAGCTTACTTTGGTTTTGTGTGAATTGTTAACATCAATATTTGCTAAGCAGAAAAATTGATGTTACGATGACAAAAAGAAGAAGAAAATCCAGTGTCTTCTTTAACTAGTTTATCATCCACAGAAATGGTTGTTACTGTGTCAGTGTAAATTTGTGTTTATCAGAGTACTCTTCAAATTTACCCCTAGTTAAAATGGTACATCAGATAATTCGAGATTAATGAGGCAACAATGCTCAAGTTTCTAGGAATTAAAATGGTAGCAGGGTTTAAAAATTGTCCAATATATGTATAGTATTGTGTAACATATCAGAAAAGTACGTTCTGTCGTTATTTCATTGAATAAAGTTAGTGTGTGTTAATAAATGTATGGTTTATACACAAACACATCTGCTAGTAACATTTTTACCTTTGTGTCTGGTGGCATTAACTTTCCATCTCCTGGTGAGGTTTTCCATTCCAAATCTACCTTGATGATATTGCAAGCACATACCATACTTTATAGTTTACTAATGATGATCAGAATAATGATGATCTGAAGAAAAATGCCAGAGTTGAAGCTATATTTGTCATTTAGTGAAGATATGCTTGTTAGAGTCTTACTGTAGTTAGTTTAATCTATTCTTTAGCTGTTTTTTAGTATGTCTGTAAACCATTGATGGCAGTATAGAGAAAAAGTTTGTTATGAAATCATTAGAGCTATTCACTATAAACTGTAGTTAGTGGGCTAAGCCATCTTTGTTAATTCTCTCTTTTTTAGTAATTTGATCTTTAAGTGTCGTAAGTTGCTTCAGATGATTTTGTGTCAGGTATGTATACATTTAGATAATTGGAATGGTACCTTCTTTAAGTCTTGAGATGACAAGAAATGTTGACTTGGTGGGATAAATGATTCACGAGTCTTTAGTGAGCATTAATGTAATCGAAAGAAAAAAAATTGTTCTTAAAGAGTGACTTTTATTATGAGGTAAAACATTGAGAATTTCTCTTCAGTATTTTGGAAGTAAATTAATAATCTGTTGAATTTCATAGATTGAATGAAAACTGGTTAAATTTTTTTTAGTTTTGTGCATGGTAAGTGCATTGTAATAGTGTTGATTCAGTCAAAAGTCAATTTTTGGAAGTGCTGAACAATTTGCCTTCTACTGTTGCACAACAAACAAACATTATGCTGGTTTGAAAGTACTGAACTGATCTCAATGTGTGACCACACACACTGAACTGATAATATGACTTTAAAGAGTTGTGAACAGTTCTCTGCGAGTTACACACTAAAAAATATGCTTGAGCTGTTCTCATTCTTATTGCACACTAAAGAGAGATAATAGGTTTGAGGGTATTGAATTGTTTTCTGTGTGTTGCACGTTAAAGAAAGATAATGAATTTGAGGATATTAAAATGTTTTCAGTGTGCTGTACATTAAAGAGGGATAATGAGTTTGAGGATATTGAACTGTTTTCTGTGTGTTCACATTAAAGAAAGATAATGAGTTTGAGGATATTGAACTGTTTTCTGTGTGTTCACATTAAAGAAAGATAATGAGTTTGAGGATATTGAACTGTTTTCTGTGTGTTCACATTAAAGAGGGATAATGAGTTTGAAGATATTGAACTGTTTTCTGTGTGTTGTTGCACATTAAAGAAAGATAATGAGTTTGAAGATATTGAACTGTTTTCTGTGCATTGCACACTAAAGAGAGATAATAGGTTTAAAATTATTGATCTGTTATCTGTGTGTTCTTGCACATCATATTGATATTCTGGTCCGGAAAGTATTTAACTGTTATTAGTGTGCTACTGCACACTAAAACAGGTTTTATATGGTTGAGTGCTGAAATAATCTTGCATACGCTAAGCAGACACACTGATGCGGAGAGTATTGAATTGTTTTCATTGTGTTATTGCGTAGAATATATCTGGATTTGAGAGTAACAGAATGTGCTTATTACTCTTCTAAAACATTTTACATCAGACTAGTTTTGAATGTAGAACTGCTAAAGTTAGAAAAGTGTCATGATTCAAATTCAACAAGTGATTGCATGAACAGGTTTCCAAATTTTTGTTGAGTTAGTCAGCTACGTCTACAAGTTCGCTTGAAAAGGAATATCGGGTGCCTAACATTTCTCGTTTGTCTTCCACAAAATATTCTGTCTAGTCTGACCGGGGTGTGCGTGTGTGTGTTCTACTAGTTTGAACTCTGAATTCCAAGACACTGGAACCTATTCATCTTGTATCATGATTTTATGTGCCCTCATTACATAATGAATGCATTAAAATTGGTTTCATATTTGTAGGTTGACCAGGTTTTGTTTTATTCGGCATCAGTTTGTTATGAATCAATGCAAAATCGCAAGTCATTTACATGGTTAAATATTGAGTTGTTGTAAATGTTCTGTACTTTTAAATAGGGTGATAATTTTTCTTTATGTTATCTGATACAAACCTAGTGAAAAACATTTACCTCATTTCAGACTTAATATACAATATTAAAGTTGTTTTATAACTTTCAAATTGTTTAGTAATCGTGAGTCCATGAAAAGTGTGGACTGTAAAACTGACTTAAGTAACTGAAATAGCACATAAACTAAAAAATAGTTTTGACAGTTTTCCAGCTCATCATTATTAGGGGTACAGTAGTGTCCTGTTACACAACTTAAAAAAGCTAGGTCACAAGATAGATCTCACCATATTTCTAGCTCTGCATTGGCATACCCCTGATGAGGATAGCTGACAAGTTCTTGTAATAGTGGGCCCTAGTTTGTGTGCTCCTTAAACTGTATTTCATACCAACTACTCTTGAATTTTAATTTGTGAATCTGACTGCTAATGTTAAGGTGGCGGTTTTACTTTTTATTTCTGGATGTATACGACTATAATTTGTGAATAGGACCTGTTAATATGTTGATGAGATCCTGTTTACAAATATTTGGAAGTTGGATTAATATGCAGAGTAACGAATGAAATACACAAGGAAGTAGTGAAACAAGTTTAATTGTAATTCATTGGTGTAAGTTCAATATTATGTGCCTTATTTTATTGTTTCTTTTTTTTTATTCATTAAATTTTATTGCTTAATAACGGTTAGATGAAAATGTGTAGTTGAAATCTTACTTTACTGGCATGGTGTAATCCTCACCGATTCTTGTTGTGAAGTTAACGGTTGAAAGTTTTAATAGCTGTAGTGTAACACAAGCGTTACAGTTGTTTGGTTGTAGAGAAGTTAATTTCTAGAAGTTGTTTCCAATTACATTCTATTGTGATTTTTTGTTATTTGAGGGAGATTATATTAAAGATTTCATAGTTGAATAAAAGTAGAAACACAAGTATGGCCAGCATGGTCTGTACTTTGAAGTTTAAAACCGTTCTCACACGAAACTAACTTCAGGTGCTTGTATACTCGTGTACCACTTAAAGGTAGTGCAAGCAGCACTGATTAGTTAATACAACCAAAGGTTGGTAGTATCTTAAAATATCAGTGAATGCCGTAAAGACAAGAACGACGAGGGTACTGATAAGATACTTAATCAAACCACACATGTAATATTACTTCTGTATTCTATAATATATATATAATGTTCCTTTACCACAGCATGAATCAATCATTGTAAATAATTAATGGATAGAACAAAAAGATTATCAGTAACAAAAGAACTGATTAATGTAATAGCTACAGAGAAATGAAATGTCTCGTTAATAAAATTGATACCACAGCTGTTTTATAAAGGTAACTTTTTTTTTTTTGATAATGGAATAGTTATTTAAAATTGGGGATTATATATATATTTATTTTTTTCAACCAAAAACTTCATTTATTTTCATAAAGAAACAGAAAGCCATTTGTCCTATTTATAATTAACTTAAAAATCATTAATTACTAAACAATTAAAAGATGTGTATGCTTTCTCAGGTTTATCACGGAAGTTAAACAATAGTTAACTTGGTAGGTAAGAAAATAAACATTTACTAAAATTTCATACAAACAGAATATTTTATGATACAAATATGAAATAATAAAAACCAGTACTTTTGTTTTTAGACTTTTCTGTTAGTGAAAACAGAGCAGAATATCATACAGGTTTAATTCATTGTTAAAAATGGTGTATTTCTGTGTAATATTTTGTAGGGTTTATCAGGCTTCATTTCGCTGTTTAAATATAGGCAATAATAGTGATGTAAGACTGTAGGGTAACGTTAAACCAGTTGTATCATTCAGAAACATGCAAAAAACTTGGAGGGTTTTTTATGACTGTATTTGCTAATTCTGGAGTACTTTTTAAAAAATGTTTAGAAATGTTTCCTTTTTTGTTATGATAAAGCTAGCTTATAGTGCCATTTTAATGGTTAATATTTGTTTGTCAAAAATGTGATTGTATTACTACATTTTTAGTAATAGAACTATTCAGTCTATTTGTATTCATACGTATGTATAATGTTAATTAGGTTTCAGGTATTCATGAATCTTGTATTGCTCCAGTACGTGTCTTTGTTTGAAATTCTTTGATATAAAATCATGAACAAAAAGGTTACAATTGCATGAATATCTTTAGTGTGTGTTCGCGCAAAGGGTCCATTTCTAGCTATCATGTGATTTCTGAGTAAATGATGTTTCTACATTATTTTAATTTATTACACTCTGAGCTTTTAGTCTCCAATTTAGAAATGAACATTTTCAGCACATGACAGTAGGTTGATTGTAATGGAGACATCAACTTTACACCAGTGAGATGTTTCATATTTGTATTTTTGTGAAATCAAGTTGATCTAATAAACTTCTCAAACTTTCATGTGCCATTTCAAATATAGTAGATGGTATTTGGACAGTTGTTTGTTCTATTCATTCAGACTCTCAAGATATTGTGGTATAAAACCAACCCAAACTTTTGTGTATAGAAAAAATGCAAAGTCAAAAAATTTTTATAACCACAATAAATGTACCTTTCCCCCCCCCTCCCCCAACAGTTCCATTACTTGTTTCCTTTCCTTTATTGGCTCAGTGACAAGTCTGAGAGCTTATAACTCAAACAATTGGGTGTCGATACCCCTGGTGGGCAGAGCACAGATAGCCCATTTTGTGTATATGCTTAACAACAAACAAACAAAACTTGCTTGTGTTCTATGTCATGGTACTTATAGACTTGGTCATAAACTATTCTGGGACAAAGAAATGAAAAAAAAACCTGAGCATTTACAACTAATTGATGATGTGTGTTCACAGCAAAAAAATTTTCCAAAAAGTGTCTGGGTAACTGCTTTCTTTAATTGTGAAGTAGATATTTCAACTGTATAAACTTGGACTGCTATTACTACACTATTCTTGTCCTGTTTCACGTAATTGACATAACTTGAAGGTTAAGAACCTGATGAGAATGAAATAAAATTTTATTTTGCTAAAATGTGACATTAAGTTTTGACTAGAAGCCTGAGATAAACAGGCAGAATAATTTGATGACCGAAATTCTCAACCTTTATTGTGAAGTTTTCAGCCAAAACCTACTGATAAAGACAAGCTCAAAAAATACTAGAAATAAACTTTTAAATTCTAGCAAGTTACTTTCAGTCCATTCATCATTGCACATAAAGGGGGGGGGTTATAAAATTATGTATAAAATTTGTGTGTAAAAAGATTTGGTAAAAAAACAATACATAAGTTTTTGTTTAACTTTAAATATATAAGGCTGCATAAAATATTTCTATATCAAACATATTAGGGTTAACGTAAATATATAATTAAGTACATTAATAGCATTGAAGAAAAATGGCGAATATGACTCTCTTAACATAATCCTATTTTTATATTTTGTCAATGATTAATCTACAGGTTAGAACAAGTTGCGAAGAACTTGACAAGAACCAGTGTATAACTCTTTTACAATTAAGTAAAAAAGAAAAACGTTACTTGTTAATTAAACACAAAGCTTTATAATGGGCTCTCTGTGCTCTGACTACAACAGAAATTGAAACCCAGTTAACTGAGCCATTGATGGTTAAAGAGAAACGTCACGACAATCTTAGAATTCTTGTTGTTATTTCGATAAGTGTAAGCATTTATTGGCTTAATTAAGTCTTCAAAAAATAGCGACACCAAATGAAACTTTAGAAGTTTGTACTACACTAATTAAGCCAGGGATTAAATTGTTATGGAAAGGTGTTCCGTCTTCTTTCACCCCCCCCCTTCACACACAAACACGGTGGCTCGGCAGTAAGACTGCTGGCTTACGACGCTAAAATCGGGTTTCGATACCCGTGGGGGGGGGGGTCACGGATAGCCCATTGTGTACCTTGTGCTTAACGACCAATACATTTCTATTCGGCCATTAATGGCTCTGGTGTTTTGGTTGAAAAGAAAAGGTACCGGTGGCAATCGTGGAACAGCAGTGCAGTTACAGCAACGTTGTAGTGCTACATACGAGCACGAAATAGTTTGTCATCATAAACAAAGGGTTGAGAACATTATATTACAAACGATCTTGGAGCTCCCATCTTGTTACAGTTCATGTAATTGTGTTCGGTCATGTTCTATCTGACAACCATTCATCCTACCAGTAACCCATAATTTCCACTGCAAACAGCTCCAACGTAAGGGTTTGAAGTCCAAAGCACACCATAATTCATCTTCTGCATGAAGGTGATGTTTTAACATTCCATTAGTTTGATCACAAAGAAATCCACAGGCGCTGCATTCGGAAACGTGACCAATATGTCATCATAAGAAATGATGGTGTGAATACCCGTTTCATTATCCACCGGAAACATAATTGTGTGACATATATATATTATACAATCCTGGCATTCCCTGGTGGTTAGGGCGCTCGACTCGCAAGTCTCAGGTTCTAATCCCGTTATTGAAAACGCCTATCTTTTCAGACGTAATGTAGTTTTAACGTGACGATCGAGCCCACCATTCGTTGGTAAGGAGTAGCCCAAGAGTTCGTGGTAGGTAGAATTGACTAGATGCCAGTCTATCATTTCAAAATTAGGGACAGCTAGCGTAGATAGCCCTCGAGTAGCTTAGCACGAAATTCAACAAAACAAACCATTTGTAAAATTTTATTTCACCCAGTATCCAGTAGAAATGGCAAAAGACAGTTATCAAGATAAATATATGCTTGGTCGAGTATCACCGCATACTGCTATTTTTCACCCCCGGATACGTATCATTCATAGTAGTTGGGATCCTTTTCTTGGATGAATATGTTGAGGAAGCAACTTGTGGCGCTTTTCCAGACAGAGTTGCGTGATGTTGCGAGTATGTTCGTGGATTCTTACCTGTTAAAAGATGTTGACACAACGTGTATGAAAGTTCTTTTTTTTTCTTTTTTTTTTGTGCTCCAAGTAGATCCATGTCCCTTTGTTTTCCATGCTATAAAATACAAGGGATATCCCCGTCTTGTAAATTATAAAACCCCGATCTCAATAGATCTCATTCTCAGTGGCACAACGATATGTCTGCAGACTTATACTGCCAGCAGAAACCGGGTTTCGATACCCATGGTGAGCAGAGCACAGATAGCCCTTTGTGTAGCTTTGTGCTTAATAACAATCAACATATCTTAATATAACTTAGCCATCTGTAAGGATATAAAATATAGATCCTTACGGAATACTTAATACTTTTGTTCCTTCAAGGCTATGTGTGTGTATATATATATATTCCCCTGCAATGTGGATCACGAGAAGGAGTTCCCCTACTCCAAAATCTCAACCACTGAATTGAGCACATTAAAAAAGATAGCACACCCAATGCTGATTCATCGTTAATATGAATGTTTTTAACATATCCTTGCTCTCTGTGCGTATATAGATAACAAATAATGACTTTTTTATTTGGTTTGCATATGACTTTATAAAATACTGCTTTAGTTTTCAAGGGTGTCCCCCTCCCCAATTCAGTTCCCAAACTGTGTGGCGGAAAGGTCTGCCGCGGAATTTTTGCAATTATTTGTTTGTTTTTACGATGGGCTATCTGTGCTCTGCCCACCACGGGTATCGAAACCCGGTTTCTATCATTGTAAGTCCACAGACTGTGCCACTGAGGAGTGCTACTAGGCCTACCATATGGATTTATTTTGGAACATTGAAAGTGTCACCTGGAAAGGCCACTGTCGAAGAAGAAACTCTACTCGGTTTTGAGTTACTACCACTGATGTGACTGTTACCGATGATAGGACAATTGCTGATGGACCAGATGAACCTCACGTGAAGCAGAAGCCAACGAGATAGAAACCAGTACGGAAGAAGATACGTCC